GTAATACTTAGTAAAAATTACACCAGTATAATTATAACCCCCCTCATATATATATTAAAAAGTGATATTGTTATAATAAAAATGGCTTAATATTCCTTATGTTTGTATTTTTTTTTATACAAAATGTCTTCTATTTCTAAAATCTAAATAAAACTCATATAGTATATTAGGTTTCAAGACAAAGACTTTTTCCTAATACTGTTTTCTCTGTTTTTGCCTCTTTGAACCCTTGTGTCATATAATCACAAAGGAAGAGAGAATATAGGAATGATAATGGGGTGAGTCCCATTTTTAGCATATACCAACTCATGGTCACATCATATTTAACATGTAACCTACGTAAAATATTAAGTAACCATCAGAATCCACATCTTCCTTTGTTAAGTGACTCCTCCTTAAACGCTCAACCTTAAATAACTACAAACACACCAAAGCAAGGTAAGCTAGCTAATACATCAGCACTGAGATCCATACAACAATCTTTGTCCAAGTAATTAAAAACACCACGTACACTACCTCATTGTCACCTACAGCTCACTTCTCTAATCCAACCTCATTAATAAAGACCATGCCGCATCACAACCGTCCCACTAGTCCCTACACAATATATGTTATTGTACAAAAATTATATATAGGTATATAAAATAGATTTATACTTATATATATATATATATATTATATTTTGTAATAATATTTTTTTGTGTATCGTTATATATAACATTCTTTATAGTGAAGTCACTGTCAACCCAACTATCAATATAAATAGGGATGACAATGGGTAGAATCCTATAGTACTCGTCCCCATACCCACATTTAAAAATAATACCCGTACCTAATTCTATATTCACATGGGTAGCAATTTTAATTTTCACCGCCATGCACAGTGGGTATCTGTGACTATGTACTCCTATCTGCACCTGTAACCCGCATTTTACTTATGTATAAAGTAAATAAATCAATAAAAAAAATTACATTTCACACAAGCAAACATAATATTAATTTGTCATGTCTTTAACATTATAAAAATTTAACATAACTATTCTTATAAATAAATATTACAAAACATTCAATTCTTGTAAATTTTTTTTTAAAAAAATTAACATAATAAAAGTTGTAATTGAACCTTCAATATCATGATCATGTGTTAACAATATTCTCCAAGACATGTGAAAAAAATTATATAGAAATTAGTTAGATTAAAATTATAGATTAAATTATATACTATAAATTTTAAAAAATAAATATGTAGACATTTAACCTCATCATTGAAACAATTAAATGATTAGATAATTTAAATTAATAATTAAAATAAACAATAAAAAATAAGAATAACTTTTATTAAATAAATAAAATTTAATTATTTATTATCTTGTTACATGTGACCAACTTTATACACAATAAGTGTCTTTAAAGTAAGTTCATGGACCTAGAATGATGAGGACTTAAAAATTCACCTCATTTGATAAATGCAAATTCTAAAGTTACAGTTGAAATTGAGATTATCAAAACATCCTTAACATTTTTTTTTTGTTGCAAAAATGGATACTTGATTCCATTTATTTTTCACCATCCAACAATGTCAAAAGTAGCACTCCTAGACAAAACTTTTTCTTCCAAGTAAAGTTATATTTTAGACTTTAATCACTACAAAATTGCTAATATTTAGATTATCCAAGTTTGACTAATTGATATTTGCTCGCGAAGTTGAACTTTCTACCATTTCCTTAGCTTTATTTTGATACTCTTCGAATAATGAATAACATAACTTATAGGGGTGGGCAACGAGCGGTTTCGGTCGGATTCAGGTGAAAAATGTTCAATCCATTGTAAACCGACTTTGAAAAAATGTGACCCATATCCGACCGATTGAGCTTTCAATTTGAGGCGGTTTGAGTTGAAACAGATTCAGATTTGAGTGGGTGGGTACAATCGAGTTTGAGGTTTTTTGTAGACCAAGTTATTTCAACAAAGGTGAAGCTTAAAATGGTAAAAAAAACATTTTCAAAATAGTGTACAAAAATATAATGAAGGTGACAATAAATGGTATAGGTATATTCGTAGATGAAACATTCACAAACTAGATAAACAAAAATAAAAGATAACAAAATCCATAGTTGTTACATGCAAGAGAAATATAAAGTTAGATAACAAAATTCATATGAAACCACAATCGCACAAGTTGTACTCAAAATAGAGACATGAAGATGGAAAAGAAAGACAAAGAAAGAAACAAAAAAAAACTCTAAAACTAGACTATGTGTTAAGAAGTTGAATGAGGAAGGAGAAGACAAAATAAGTATCTAGGTTATGAGAAAAAGGAAAAAAAATAAGTTACAAATTGATGGTTGTATTATATTTGAAATAAAATTTTTTGATTTTGGGTCATTGTTATTTAGTTAAACAAAAGTAATAAAATTCTAAGTATAGTTCGAATAATTTTCAGTCAAGAATAAGAAGTATGTTCGAAAGAGTATATCGATAGTATGTCTGAATACCTTTATCCTTTAATAGCTTTGGCAGTTTTCACAGCTAGAATGAGTTGCGATTAAAAAAATAGGCAGGAGAAATAAAAGATGGTGATGTGAGTTTCAAACAAGTCATTGTAATATTAATTATTAGAAAAGAAATTCTCAAAATCTTTTCATCTTCATACACTACTATTAGGAAAGGCCTTATCCTAACTAATTGTTATAGTACAATTGCATTGAATATGGAAAGGTTTCTAAAATAAAAGATTATAAAAATATATTAGCTATTTCTAAATTTAATGCCAATAATGTAAGATCGATCCCTAATTTTGAGTAGCGAACTAGGTTTTAAAGAAATTACGCTTTATGATCACATCCAACGCAGTAATTGCTTGAGGATGCCATATACAACATTAATTAGGGTTTTCCCAACATTTGAAATTTATAAGAGTGAAATAATAAAATCCAAGTAGGTATATATATCTGCAACCACTCTACATCCACTTAATTAATTATTCAATCGAAAACATTAAAACTAAATTAAGTAGACATCATTTCAATGTGTGCTAAGAACATGCAATAATATATATGTTTGCCCCATGAATGCATCCATAACATAAAACATTGCACAAACATTGTATAAACATAAATTGAAACTTTTGCACGCTTGGTATTAATATTATTCCTTTTCTTTGTCATTCGACACAATATTGAAGTCAAACCTTCACGAATCATCCCCTTCTACTTATGACATGATCTCATACTTATATCTCTCTTCAATGTGAGAGCCTTTTTCACAACTTTAGAGATAGGAAGTGACAATACTCAACCTATCTTTAAAGAGGGTACCTCAAGTATTTTCCATGCATTTCTTTTTCTAATAAAAGAATATTGGTCATCCATCGACGTTCGAAAATGTTACTTGGCCATTAATTAATTGCGCCCAAATTGTCGTTTGGTTATAAACAAACACAACTTTGCCAATATAACGACGTCTTGAGAGAACAATTAGAATTTAGGTATATATAATTAAAGCTAAAACATACTTGTGACCTATTAATTATTATTCAAATTAGTTTTGGTCCTTTGTTTTTTCTTTTTTTAAAGAAAGTTTCACTTTGCTCATTTAACTTTGAAATTTGAGTTAAGGTTTTTGTTCCGAAACAAATACGATTTTGAATTTTTGGATGCAATGTTCAACACCTCTTTAGACTGATTCAAGGCGTGAAATTTTTACTATGAGATTCAACACCAAAATTAAATAATATTGTGACGTAACTAATGTTCGAACAAAAGAGAGAGATAAGCATGGTGAAAGTTGCATCAAGCATGAGGCTTAGAAGCAAATAAAAAACTAAAAAGTATTTTATGAGTTTCTTTCCCAATAGCCTACAGGCTAGCTCTTTACGTGATTTTCATAATATTTATGTCCTTTTATTAATCTGGACTTCAATTGGGTTTCTTAGTTTTCATGCTGGTGAAACTGATGGAACATGATTTATGTCTTTAATCAGTCAAAAGACGAGTTTCATATTTTAGTTCTCATTTTATTTCAACATTGAATGGTTAGATATCTTTTGAATCCCTGTAAATATGTTATGTTATACATTTAGTATGTGTAATGTATTTTTCGTTGATACAATTATTGATGTTGACAGTGAGTTGCTACGTTCACCCACAACATTAGTATTACCTTGTCTCTCTTATTACGTTGTAAAATGGCTATTTAAAGGTCATCTCTTATTCAATAAAAAATACAGTGAGTTACTACGTTCACCCACAACATTAGTATTACCTCGTCTCTCTTATTTTTTCTACAGTGTCTAAGCTAAAATGTTTCTAACGATTTATCTGTAAATTTGTAGGTCAGAAAGTATTGTTTCGGATATCAAATTTATTGATATCATTAGGATGATTGTATTTAAATTAAGTATTATCCATCACGATTTTATTATTAAAAAAATATTTCAATAAGTTAAGAAAAAACATCTTTATAAATTATTATTCTTAATTCTTAAATAATATACGACTTTTTAACACTGAAATTGTAAAAAGAAAATATTGTTATAATCATGAATTAAAATACTTTCATGGTAGCACACTGTCAAGGTCGTGATGGCTTATTTTGTAAAACCAACATGTAAATCTTTATAATTTTATTATATTTTTAACAAGGTGTTTATAGTTTATTTTTTTTAATTAAATTCTCAAAATTTTATATTTGAAAGTTAACCTAATATATTGCAAAAGTGCAGAGAAGATTGGAAAAAATATATTGCAAGAACTCAGAGAAGATTGAAAAACAGTGTATTATTGCATGAATGAAAAATTAGCTACAGTGTGATATGAAGTGGTATTTATATAGATGTCTAATTACTAAATTGATGCTCTATGATATAACATAATAAATAACTATAACAACTTATAACATTAATTATTGTATAACATCCCCTAAAGTTAGACGGTGGATGGAGGACACACCCAACTTGGGGAACAAAAAATGGAAAGAAACATCCAGGAACTTTATGAAGAAGTAAGCAATCTAATTAATAGATGAAATTGAGAGTAGATCAAAGAACTAAGATTCAAGCTTTTCCTAAACAATGTGATAATCAATTTCAATGTGTTTGGTGCATTCATAGAAGCTTGGGTTAGAAATATGACAAACAAATTGACTATCATAATACAAGGCTAGACTAATGAATGACACCATAACATCCTATAATAGATATGTAAGCCATTGTAGTTCATACATGGTCAATGCTAAGGTATAATATTTAGCCTCAGTATAAGAACATGAGATTGTGGTATGTTTCTTCGATCACCAAGAGAAGAGGGAGGAACCAAGGAAGATACAAAAAGCCAACAATGGAGCGATGAGTACATTTGGCCAATCAGAGTCACTAAAATCCTTCAAATGGAGGGAGGAATTAGCTGAAAAAAATAAACCTTGACTTAGAACATTCTTGATGTACTTGAGGATGCGAGTAGCTGCCTCATGGTGATGGATAGTGGGTGCCTGCAAAGATTGACTCAAGGTCTAAACAACAAAGCTAATATCAAGCCTAATAATAGTGAGTTATATAAGATGACTAATTAATCGTCTATAAGATGTAGGATCCTAAGGAGGTGCCTGAGAATCATAAAGCAATTTATTATTTTTCATCATGGGAGTGTTGCAAGGCTTAGTAGCCAATAAAATAGAATCTGAAATGATGTCAAGAGCATATTTCCGTTGGCAAAGATTGGTCCCTTAATGAGAACATGAGACCTTTAATTAGCCAAGAAAATATTTAAGGACCCAAATCTTTCATGCAGAAAGTAAAGTGTAGATGATGTTTGACAAAAGCAATTTTAGATGCAGAGTTTCCAGCAAGGATTAGATCATCAACATGGATAATAAGTATTGTAAAATTAGTCCGTATTTTCTTAATGAATAGAGAATGATCATATTTTGAGTGAGTAAATCCAATAGATTGAAGAGAGGAAGACAACTTGGCAAACCATTAACGACTAGCCTATTTCAATGGATTGATGGTAAGTGAATGACTTATCAAATGAAAAACTAACTTGGTTAACATTGTGAGAATTCACTTTACTTTGATGTACATGTTTAACAAATATTGAATTAGGGAGATATTTAATTGACGTGTTAGCTTTAAAAAAAATCAAACTCATACTAACTATTAAGTCTACACAAAATCACATTTTATGATGAAATAGGGGACTAAATGTGAACATATTATAACTAAAAAAACATTTTAGTATATTTGTTTGGTGTATAAAAACATTGAACAACTAAAGTCTAGACTTGTAGGGAATATTTATTTAGACAAATTTTCTTGTAATCAGGATTGGTTTTCATAGACCAAATAATAAGGGTAATTATTAATGCAGTAATTGAATTGTGGTGACTTTTATACTATTAAAAGCTTGTAAAAATTAATAATGACATTTATTTGGAAAATTCATACACCCTGAGAAGACTCACAATATAAAAATGTGGTGTATATAAACTACGATGGGCCTCAAAACCACTAAGATGGGCTATCATTGGGCTAACATTCGGATGAATTTGAGTTTGAGCATTTCAATCCAGAGTTCTGAACCAAAGAAAAAAGCATTACATTTCCATCATGTCTCCCAAATAATATATAATTTATAACATATGATGTCAATAATTTGATTTGGTCTACATAATTTATTAGACAATTTTGTTCTTATATCAACTTCCAAATTACTCCCTCTCACTATCTCTCTTCCACTATTTTTTATTTAATTTATATTTTTTTCTACTTTCAATAAATCTTTAATTAATCAATAATAATTAAAGACACAAAGTATCTCTCCCTTACCTGTATTAATAAATAAAAAAATCATTATTTGGTGTACATATTTATTTAAAACTTTTTTATGATTTATTAATAATACATCTTCTGTAACCAACTGCTCAACTGCTTACATATTTCTAATTGCTCACTAATTTTTAAATAAGTACAGAAATATAAAATGTCTCTTTTACATTAGTAATACTATTTAAAATAAAAATTATGAATGAGTCTAATTCAGTGGGTCTTCCGTTGAATCGAACAAAATGCGTGAGTTATCATAAATCTTCTCTATATTAAGTTCGATTCTTACATTTTCTAAGACCACAACTGTTAAGTTCTAAAATTTCTAAAACCAAAGACATTTGGGTGATCTCAGTTTCTATGATTCAATCCTGGCAAGGCTGAAGGGTTAAAGTTGGAATTGGACATGATCTGCAAAGAAGTGAAATTAAGCATTTTCCTTGCCTGAGCTTCAGCTGTTAATTTCCTTTCTACTTCTCTCAGCCTACTCTCTTCTGCTCTCTTCTTTTCAATCTCAACTATAAAATCAAAACATAATTGCACCATTATAAACCCTATATTAGAAAAAATTCAAATTTCACTCTATTAGAAGTGTAAGACAATTAATGACTATATAAGTAGGACAATTTTTATTTTCTAAATCTTAGTTAAATTCATGATCTTAAATTCTTAATTCTAAAACCTTGGTTATTGCATGAAATTCGTTTTAAAATTTTAACGTGATAAAAGGGTAGGAGACATGTTACCTTCTTGAAGTATTCTGTGCTTTTCACGAGCAGCCATATGGTATTTCAATGTATGATGCTCAATTTGCAACAATAGCTGCTCCTTTTCTTGCTCTGCAATTTGTTCATTCAGGAACTCTATTTTCTTCTGCACACCAATAACTCCTTAGATAAAGTAAAAAATTTCAATTATTCATGAAACTAAAATTGTTATTTCGTGCTTAATCAATCTGTTAATTAGGTGACATTTATTTTAGGTATGTATAATCAGAAATAATATTCTTGGATAAACTCTAAAGTGCGTTGGGTTTTGTTTTAATACTCTTGGAAATCTTTTTCTAAAATTCAAATGATAAAATGAAAAGTGAGAATATATATGAAATCAAAGTTTAATGATTGACTTAAAAAAATAGCTTGTGGTATTTTCTTAAAAATAGTCATACAGATTTTATTTATTTTTTAAATTTTTTGTTTGAAAGCATTTTCAAAACAAATCCAAAATTGAGAACAAAAAACAACATTTTCTACTTTCATTTTGTTTTTATAATTCTTAATCATTCATACATTTCATTTTTGCAATTTACATTCTTTATGTGTAAAACTTATGATCGATGAACCATCACAACAAAGAAGCACAAGTGATGACGTGTACAAATTGAGAGGGTCTACAAAACTCCTGTTTTAAAAATAGGAAATCAGGAATTAAAAACCTTTTTCTTTCTTTTCCATTTTTACTTTTATTGTTTCATATATAAACTTTTAAAAATAGAAAATAAAATAAACATAAGGTCATATTTTCATATAAAAATAAAAACAGAAAATATTTTCTCAAATCGATTCTCAAATTTATATTCTCAAAAATGACTTTAGAATTTTTCATTAACAAAAATGACTTGACACAAACATACTTATAAAATTTAACTTTCCTATGTTACTTTACTGATGTGTTTCTCTTTAAACTGGATTATTCTTGACGACGGAAATTAAATCCTTTTACCGAATATCACTACGCAAATAGTAAAATACAGGTAAGAAAAAACCAAAAGTGAAAAACATATTTGACACAAATATGAAAATTAAATTATTTCAGATATATACTTAAAAAAAAAAAAAAAAAAAGTGAAATTGTAAGAAATAGTTTTTCACAAATATGGTCGAATTGTTTCGATGATTGATCCTAATCACCTTGTGAGATTTCACGATGTTTTCCAAATCCTCCATGTATGCAAGTTTCTTCAATCTCGATCTTCGAGCAGAATGTCGGTTTGAAATGATTCTGTGGTCACCACAAGAAAGTATTCAAAATTATACACATTATGAAGTAATTTCCATAGTTGCATATATATTAAAGATTTTTTTTGTCCCGAATATGATTGCTTTCAATTAAAAATGTACATGATCTTTAAAAAAAAACATTGATTATGCATGCAAGCAAAGAAAAACATATATACCTCTTGAGCTTCTTCTTGGTTTCATGCTCAATGTTTGGTTGGGCTTCATTGGCTGTGTTATGATCATTAATTGAAGCGTTTTCCTCTGTAAGATGATTGTCGTTTTCTGGAATGGTGACAAGCTCATTAACTGGATTGGAGGGTTTTTGCCATGGTTGAAAGGATGAACCATACCCTATAGACACATTACTTTGAGCTCTCATAGGAATAGGCTTAATTAGAGTCGGTTTCTTTGGCCATAATTCATTTTCTACTAAATCGCTTCTGATCCTAAGCTCTCCCATTCCTCTATTCTTTTTCTCTCTACTAAAATGAAGGAAAAAAGATCAAGGAGGAATGACTAATTGAGATGTGTTAATTTGCATGAATATATATATAGACTTAGATTTGAATAAAGCACACATAATCTTTTATAGAAAAAAAAAAAAAGACTTGTATATATGCACATCTTGTTGTATATAGAGTAATAGGAAACTCACTCTGACCCATAGTACCCAACTACCCATAGTACGTTTCTTTATACGTGGCAACAAATAAATTTTTTTGTCACATTTTTTACTTTACACCCTTTATAATTAATGTGTCGAATTGAGAGTGAGGAAAGAAAAAAAAGATATTAAATGGATGTAAAAATATTAATGTGAAAAAAGAATATCAAAACTTTTGGTGAGTTTAATATATTTATGACTTTAGCATAAAGAAGATCATATACATGTATTTACCAAATATACCTTTGAAGGAGATTTCT